GCCACGTCCAGCACAATAGACAGGCGCACAAGCAGCACCCGCATGCCGTGGGAAACGCACAGCAAGAAACAACGACGACAAACCCTGTAGCTAAAGTATGTCTAGTGTCCCGTTTGGATAGGCCCCATATCATGCTATTCATATACTACTTGGAGCGTCAGGGGGGATTTAGTAAGTAGGTTAATAATTACATAATAATTCCTGTAACCCATATAATGACCCCGATTATCCCCACGATTAATTACAGGATCCTAAAGGGGGGGGTGGTTCAAGGGGGGAGGGTAGCAGGGAGCCTTGGGGAACCTTAGGGAAGCTTNNGAAGCTTAGGGAGTACAAGGGAATAATGAAGATTACTGGTTACAGTACCTACCCCCCTTGGACCAACCCCCCTTAACAGCATCCTCGATTAATCTACTTATCAAGTCCCCTGATCCCCCAAGTATACCCCATCTCTGGCGCCCAAAGAGCCTCTGCAGGCTCCCCCTCTGCCTCCGCTTCCTCCGCTGCATCTACTTCCTCCTGGCAGTCTGCTCGCATCTACGGAAGCTAGGTCCATCGTGGTATGGTTATGTAGGGATTGCGTAGTTCAGGGATACATATAGGCTGTTGCCAATATTCTTGTTCCTGCAACTGACCTTAATTCGGTGTTCCCTGCGTGCGGCCTCATGTTATCATGTGGCAAGTATCTTACAGGACCATACCATGATGAAAGATTTGGATCTGGTTTTTAAAAGGTGTCAACCGTAACTGGCTCCACTTGCTACACGCCATCTTGGATTCTATTCGGGAATCAACATACATGAAATCATGTCCTGTGATAAACATGGATTGCTGACCCCTGGTCGGCTAGCTACATGGACAACAGATACTAGCGCGCTTCTAGCGCCATCTACAGCCGAAAACGTTATGGCAATTCAAATTTCCTTGCCAGAAAGAAGTCTGCCTCTTGTGAACTGTCTTGGCCTCTCGAGAATAATAGAAATTCCACAAGTACAATTGCCCATGGTCAAGCTGGACACTCACCTGACCCCAACTGCTGGTACAGGAAACCTACCGCGGATCTACCGCGAATCTAGCGCCACCCTGCGGAAAGTGCGTTTTACCCTGCACGCCGCCTCATGACGAAGAAGGCAGCCCGACCCCATGATAACATTTCAGGTCTGTTCGTCTATATTTGTTGAAAGAGGTTTTGACCATCGCCCATATACCCAGGGTGGCAAATGGATCAGTATGTTGGGGGACTAAAAAGGGGATGTAAATGCCCTTTGGGAGGTCCCGAAAGGGATCAAGGATTTGACTGCTTTTGCCTTCCCCCTAAAACCCTAAACCCTAGAGGGCGAAGCGATTCATATCAGAACCTATTCCCAGCCCAGGTTCGCGCCTGCCCGCTCAATGATCAGTGCACATGAGCTACTGTCTAAACTCCTAGTATCCCCCTGGATAATGGAGAGTCAAATGGAAAAGAAAATGGAAAATGAAATGGAAACTGGGATTATACAGGGGATTATAGGGGTTATAGTCTAAACTCCTAGTATCCCCTTTCATAATCCCTATAATGCTTCCCTATAGATAATCACCTATATAAGCCCCTTGAAGGAGTTTAGACGACAGCTCACATGAGCCGGCTGCAAGAGTTGCTTGGCAGGCTTTGGTTTGAAAGTAATCTTGGTGAGGCCTCAGCCCCAGGCAGGAAACAAGCATTCAAGTACAAGATTCCACTAGGGTTTAGGGAGCTTGCAACTATATTCCCCTAGTTTCCATTTCATTTTCCATGTTCTTTTCCATTTGATTCTCCATGATAGGGGGATAAAAGGGGACTATAGGGATCATCTCTTGGTCCAGTTCAACCTAGCAGCCATAGACGAATGCCACAGACTTTTGTTCTCCCTGTCCTCCTTGGCCTCCTCTACATGCTCTGCCTCCTTCTCATCTGGGCTGGGCTCTGTAGACTCCACCTATAGAGCTGGCGCAGGCATAAGTTTGGGAAAGGTCTTCCCCAGCTGGCCCAGCACATGTGGACATGTATGGCCAAGCTCAATGCAACCCTGGTTTTTTGCTGCGGCTTCGAAAACCCTGTCGAAGCGCCCGCTATCGCAGTTTTGAAAAACAAGTGATGCTAACACAGAGAAGCTCACATACGAATGGGAATCTTCATAAATAGGGGGTCCCCATTATGAGGCCCGGACTATAACCCCTACTGTAGGGACCCTCAAAATGGTACTCCGCAGAGACCACCACATGTAAATCCGGCTACCTTTTCTTTTCCATGCTCTTTTCCACGTCATTCTCCATTCTTGGGGATATTTGATACCACTCTTAAATCTTAATTCCTAAGCCCTAAACTTTTATAACGCAATAGATCCCTATAGAACCCAAGTCAAAGAGGGTTGCCTTGCGCCGAGGTAGCTTGAACCGGAAGGTCAGGGGAAAGCCAGAAGGATCGTCCTCAGCAACCCCAGATAACAGTTTCCATTTTCTATTTTCCATTACCTCTATATAACCAAAATATGGAAGTTTCCGTAAATTGGGGACCCCAAAATAGCCCCAAAATACTATAATCCATATTATAGGGACCCCCCAAAAATTGCACCCCAAATTTCAGGAAACTCCTATATAACCCCAATCTCAGGAAAAGGATCAGACTCCATCTAGTCTAGAGGCCTGCAGAATCTCTGAGTCTCTTACTACTATTAGCTACTACTATTGCTACTATATGTGACATAGTTTGGGATATCCTATATGACAATAACCCTACACCCCAAACCATATTCAAACAACAAACATAAGAGGGACGGGACCTTGTAAGGAGCAGGGTATCACGGATCAGGCCAATAAAGCTCTGCACTCGCCCTGGCTCTAGTAGGATTAGGGTTTAGGGCTTTCTTCTGTTTATGAAATCAAGAAATTGGCGAGAAGGGTTCGCAGAAGGGCATTGCTGGCAAGAGGGTGACTTACGTGCCAAAGTCCTACCTATCTCAAATTTGTTACCAAGCAGTTGCAGGGCCTTGGGGGGGTGGGCACCAAGCACTAGGGAGACGCATCAATTTGGGCTTTGCCGCCAAGGCACTGCAAAGAGCATCATCGGGCCTTCTACCCGGGATCCCGAGCTATCGACCACATGCGGGTCCTGGCACAGAAGCCCCTATCCGGCTGCTAACTTTTAACGTTCTTGTGACTTGTGACTGCATGCAAGGGAGGTCCCCAAAAATGACAGAGGCAAGAGGGATTGCTGGAATGGACATAAGCTGCTCTGGAGTGCTCCGGGCAACTTGATTTCGATTAGCTTCACTACAAGACGGGGTGAGAAAACAAATTTCAGTATCACCATCGGTGGTACCACACACTCTGTCCTACTACTGCGCCCTCATTTCTCTGATGTGAAGCAAACCGCCTACTTGCTTGGCAGGGTCCGGATCGAAGAAAGGGACCGCACGCTCGAGCTCAGCTGGGTCCGACCATCCCAGACTGGGCGCATATCAAGGCTGAAGAAACTTGGCATCTACAGTAGGAGTGTCGGGCCGACCCATTGAAACATGTTGAGACCCATGTGTCATTCATGGAATTCAGCTCGCCGTCAGGCAACGTTGGTTACGACGGTTACGTAAACCTTGGGGCACACTTTTAAACGGGGCGGCTTCGCCCCGTACCTTCGGGGCCCACGTCAAATGAAGTTGGGGATCAAATACCCATCTATCACAGCTTCGCATGAAGAGAAGCTCGCGCTGTCTCTAAATTTCATCAGAGCGGCTCAGCCATAAGCTCCTTCATCTTTCGGTCCACAACCTATACTGCCGTGCCACAACCCTTTTGCGCACTTCTAGTTTCAAGTGGCAGTCCGCTGTAGTACCCTGCTAAAAAATTAGTCACCAGCATCCTCAGATAGGCTTGCAGTCAAGTCTTCTGAACCGCAAACAAGTGTGGCAAATGACAGAACTGCCACGTCAGCCCAAAAGCATCTGGTGTACACGGCCCTGCCTCAAAAAACATGTCCTTCTCCTCCCAGGACAAGGTGAATTCTCGCGTCTCTGTGCCTTGGTTGGGCAAGCCAAGTTAAGATGCTGTTGCAGTGCCGCATCCAGGTTTGGCATACAGCTCCCGCAAAAATCAATAAAGTGATACGTATATTCAGATTGACAACAGGCCATGCTTCACATTGTTCATGATTGACACTTTACCCATCTCTACCCCACCGTACCCACCACAAGGACTTCTGCTGCTAGCTGTTGCAGTAAAGCTTGATTCGGCTCTTAGCGATTGTCCAGCAAAGCGAAGTCAAGAGAACGACGGGCTGAGCGCTGCACGTTTGTGTTAAAGTCTGTGTAGGATGTTCTGAGCTTTTTCTGTTGCCAGCTTCTAGAAACCTAGTAACAGCAACGTTGAATAAGTAATAAGATGCTAGCCTGAGGGGAAGTCAAACAACAACATGATTGATTCATTGATTGATTGATTGATTGATTGAAGCCTGTGAGCAGTCATGCTCCGCCCTATGAGGCAAGGCCCGAAGAGGAGGCCACAGCGCTGTTGGCAAGCAGCCCATCACTTTACATGTAACATGTCTGCACAGCTCCCGACAACAACATGAAGACGCTTGCTGAAAACGGAAGGCAGGATGCGAAGGACCTTCATGTGAACAGCTCGCACGATAAGACATTGGCTTGTTAACGCGACAAGGCAAGCAGCTTCAAAATCAGAACCGCCTAGGGTGCTAGGTCCAGCCAGAACGATGTGATACATCTTCTGCTAGGTTCGGATGCGCAGAGACAAGCCAAGTCCCAAGGAAATTCCGAGTCCGTCGACCCTCCCTTGACTGCCTTATACACGTCTGCTTCAGCTGTGGTTGCTCGGCCCCGTATCAGCCGCAGGCGCTGAGGCTGCCGCAGGTGCTGAGGTTGCCGGGGCTGCCTGCTGCCAATAGCTGTTATACACATTCGCAATACCTACAGAAACACAACGTTGCTCAAAATCCGTCCCACGCTGTTAGCATCATTCTTTATCTTCACAGTCTGATCACTGCCACTTGGCTTTCTCAATCGGCCTCCCGCACTGTCAGCACATGCGGCACATACTCCAATGAAATACCTGTAGAACACTGCAAAAATGCTAAAACCCAATGCTCGCATCTGGTTGAGCTTGCGCTGTAGTACAAGTTTAGCATTCTGAGAGACCCAAGTCAACAACCAGAACAAAAATCCGCAGAAATTTGCGGCGAGGGATGGCTCAAAGAAAACACTGAATATCAGGGCTTTCAACTCTGATGCCCGCGTTGGCTGTGGCCACTTCGCTGGACCATTACACGCAGATGGATGGTCCTCTTGCTTGCTGGATGTGATCCCCCTTCTTTTGTGCTGTAAGGTGGTTCAAACGCACAACCGATCCTGAAATTGCTCACCAGACCCTCTATGTACCCATCCCTAAATCGTTTTTTCAAAAGGCTTCACTAAACCCTAAACATCGCTAAACCATACACTTTCTGGTGGTAAGTGGGGAATAAGGGAATATATCATAAAGGGGATTATATAGGGATCATTTTTTAAATTCCCTTTTAACCCCCAGCAGGACTTCAGACTTGCCACTGTAGGTTTCTCCTCCTTCCCCGGCTCTTCGGTTGAGGCTTTGACATCAGCCAGACTTGCCACTGTACCCGGCTCTTCGGTTGAGGCTTTGACATCAGCACCAGTAGGCTCCTGCATCAGGATGCGCTCTGAAAGATAATGGAAATTCCCAAAATGTGGGTCCCATTTTGGTCCCGCCCTCCCTACATATTAAGTGCCGTATTACAATCTATAACTAAAAGGGGCCATAGTTTTGAGAGTCACCTACATGGTAACCTCCATAAATTTAGGGAGAAACCCAATGTGGACCTCAAATGCTTGCACCAATATATTCTGGGGACCCCCAAAAGGGGATCCTACATTAAAGAAACCCATTGAAGGGGTTTGAAGACGTAAGCAAGTCGCCCTTGGGAGAGATTTGAATTGGAAAGTAGGGGCCCAGCCCAAAACCTCAGGATCCTAAACCCAAACCGAATTGAATTCGGACTGCCCAGAGAGGCTCGCACTTTCAGCAACACCCCAAGACAAGTTAGAGTACCTCATCTGCCCACAGAACGCTCGGTTTTAGGACGGTATCCCTGAGATTTCCCGGCACAAATTGTGCGCGACTCCCATAAATGATGGATGCCCGAAACAGCTGGTACTGTGCTGTACTAATGATGCAGACGATCACGATTCTGGCCAACCTGGACCCTTCCCTGTGGTTCAGTAGTCTTACTGGTTTTCAGTCGGGAATATGGGAACAAATTATACAGGGATTATATTCCCATGCTCCCTACTAACAACCAGTAAGTATTCCTGTGAGAATCAGCAACCACTTGCATTGTGTTGCAGCAAGGCACATCTTGGCAAACTATATTGCGGGGCATATGCTGCTACGCCTCTAATTTCTGTCTTGTGAAGATATGTGCGAGGTACCCCTCTTCTCCCTAAACCCTAAACCAACCCGAAATCCTACACCCTAAACCAACCCTAAACCCTAAACCCTAAACCAACCCTAAACCCTAAACCGCGTGGCTCAGATTTGGAGGCGCAGAAGCCGGACCCTTTGGCGCCTCTGCTCCCTCACGCTCCCCACGGCTTGCCCTCTTTTTCTTCTTTTTCGCCTTCTTTTTGACCTGAACGTGAAGCTATGAGCCCATTGCGTCAGGCTTTCTGAGAAATGTAGCCTGGATGTGGGAAGGATATGGGAGGATTAGGCCGCGAGGGGATGCCAAAATAGATATAGCTTCCACAGCATCCAGTCGGAAATACGGCAAGTGAGGAAAGACAATGTTCATTCGCATGCCGCTGCCTTCTTCGACCCCTGTCCAGCTTGTTCTTGCGCTTTGCCCTCCGTTGCACGAAGTGAGGTTGCATATGGTTGCATTGAGGCTACAGCCCAGCGAATGCCCCCTTTCAAGAGACCACAAGATTTCGCAAGACTTCGACGCAACAGGCAACGATCCTTTAAGTCTCATCAAGAACATGCCTCACCACTTGCAGATGGAGAAGCAGCCTCTTCTAGGCACTCGGCGAGGCGGCTGAAGACATCTGGCATGGTGGCCTCCAAACCGCTCATGTCGCATTCAAGGAACTGGGATGGCATGCTTTGGTGCCCTGATGGTTCTGCATGTTTTGTCAGCTACTGTTTGACACTCTTGTCAATCTGCTCCTGCAGCAGCAGAAGGCCCCATCATTGATGGAATGCTAGCCACCACCCCGACCCTCTCAGCACTATGAAGAACTTGACCCTTTTAAATATGCTGGGAGAGGCGCCCGTAGGTGGCGATTGAAGTGCAGGGTGTGCCTGCGCAACAAGGTTGGCAGGAAATGTGACGGGGCGCGCGAATCCTAAGCAACTGCCATCACCGATGTTGATGGGCGGTTCTCAAATCCGGCCCAACTCTGAATCTTCTCACAGTTCCCTTTAACAAGGCAATATGTGGCCGATTTCTTGGTACACAGGGACAGGCAAACTGAGAAGGACCCATGCGATCCCAGCACGCCTCTTCTTGAATCTTGAAACATGATCAGCACCCGAAATCCGACACCCTCAACCCTAAACTGGGCCGTCAAGCGTCTGCAGATCCAGTACCCAGTCAGCACGGACGCCAGCTGCGTGGCAGCAACTTCCCGGAGCCCTTCCAAGCAAGCTCGACGGAGGTTATGTAGGGATAGTGAGAAAGAACATGGAAACTACTATTTTATAGTACATTGGGATTCTATAGGGATAATGGAAAAGAAAATTGAAACTACTCTAACGGTGTTATATAGGGTTTAGGGTTTTTAGGGTTTAGGGTTTATGGGGTTGATAGAGTTCGAGCTTGAGAAGATTCGAGCACAGGTAACCCTAAGCCTAAACCCTATACCCAGGGATCGTGTGGGGCTTCCATGCGGGGTAGCACGCGCCAAAAAAGCTCCCTGCATCCCCAATTGCACAGGGTGCGCAAGAACCACCATAAAACGGAAAGTGACTCTGGTTCGTACCCTTGATTTTGAGCCTAGCTTCACCTTTACTACCTCCTATAACAGTCCCTTAAATAATCCCCTACATAACCCCTTCAAGGAGTTTAGATTATAGCTCACATTGTGTCAGCAAGAGGAGGTTGTGGGATTTGGGGCATGAGCTCAGAAGCAACTTCCAGCAGCTACACCCACCTTAGGCCATCGCCTCGAAGCGAAGCCTGTATCAACAAACTATAATACCACCATAATCTACAATAATACATTCAAGTGCTACCACC